AATTAAGGTCAAAATGTATCCATTGGTTTAGCTATTAATAGTACCTCTGCAACGCCATTCTCTTTTCTTAATTTATTTTTATTGACGATGTATTAGTGTTATACCTTTTTAAATATAAATACTGTAATTTAAATTAAGATGTTATGAAATGTGGTAAAATCAATATATATATATATATTACTAAATTACTTTATTATTCAAATGAATTTCATTTAAAAATAAATTTCTTACAATTTGTAATTAAATCCAAAAGCATTTGGTGATATTTCCAAACGTTTATACATGTATTTTTTTAAGATCGAGAACAGAATTTGGTTTTTATTTTATCGCGAATATCTTAGCGAGTATTTTAGTACTAGCTTATCGTATATACTGTACCATTTTAGAGACTAGAATAGCTCAAAAATTTTTATAGGCTAACATATTGAGCTCCGTTTCTCCCACTCTATTGTCTCTATTGTGACCGCAGAAGAACTTATGATTGGTAAGGAAACAAGAGCCGCAGGGCGAAAAGAAAAAACAAAAATAATGATTAAATATTGGCAGTGTAATAAAATAAATTGTTTAAGTTAATTTATTGTCACAAAAATTTATTTTCACTTAAATTAAAAATTAAATTTGAATGAATTTTTCATGGTTTCCAGTTTATCGTAAATATTTAAAAATAAGTGAAAAATTTGGAATGTCAGAGAAGACATTCACTTAAAAAATGAATACAGTCTCTAACAATTTATCCATTTTATATACTAGAATATTTATCATTTATTTAAAATTTCTTTATTCTTAACTAAAGAGAAGTGAGTGACATGATAAAATTGTCTGTAAAAAATTCTGGCCTATCTAGAATGAGAAATCTTTAGATTATAATTAGTTATATTCTGAAGATAACTTAAACGAGAATAAGACGTATGTGTTTTAAAGTTTCATTTAGTTAAAAAAATAAGTTCGATGATGGATAAAACGATTTCGGGGATTGTAACCTAAAAATTATAGAGATTTAACATTTTTTTCTATTCAATTTGTTAGTGTTTTTCACTGTTTTTGAAGTAAAGAAATGAATAAATGCAGTGTAAAAAGTTCTATAAATGAATAATTATTTAAATATATAAATTCATTTATAATTTTAATTAGATATTTAGTTTACTAAATAATTATAAATAATAATTTTACTAAATATTATTAATTTGGATGTTTTAATATTATTTTGAAGATTATTACTATTACAATTACAAAAAAAAATCCAAATAATTTGAGTTTACGAATATATTCCGATAGGAATTGAAAATCTAATTTAATGTATTTCAAAACGTCAATTAAATGAAGAAAAAATACTTTCAAATAAATGAAAATTTAAAATAGAAATGCTTAAACGAAGATTTCAATTGTGAAAATTAAATAATTCGATATTAAAATTAATAATANAAAAAAAAAACGAAATATTGATTATTTGTTCACCATATCATTTACTGATAGGCCTATATCCAAAAGTTTGTAAGGCACACAAAAGTTCGTATTTTATTAATTGTGTGATATTTGATGGAGTCTTTTCTTTCGTTTCTTTTTATTTATTATAGAACAATTCAGTGGAAGTATCACGAAAATTACTTTTTATATCATATATATAATTTATATGTTGCGGTCAATAGCGTGAAACGTAAAATGATGTGAGTGTCCGTTCATTCACGTGAATGACCGAAGTAACACGACAGTGATGCGAACTTTTGGTCAAAAACACATTAAATATTCACGTCTTTCAGCAGATATCATGTTCTTTTCAAGCCATTATTGTCGATAATAACCGGGCATTAATGTGAATGGTAGTTAATTCATTGATCTTTGTTGAATATTAATATGACGAATTATTTTTTTTTTGTGGTTCAATTTTTTTTTAACATCACGCACCTACCAACAATGACGTTTGTTTAGCTATATAACACAAGTATACACGATATATTTATTTTTTATGCATTTTATGTGATACTCTAATTAATTCGAACGGTAATACAACTAAAATGAATCATAATAGATGTATTCTCTAAATCGAGTTGCATGCTATATTCAATTAATAAAATGTAATACAAAATAAGTTTATATAGTTCAAACTAACATAAACTATAAAATAATTGGTAATATATTTAACTGTTCATTTATGAATAATTACTTTATAAAACATACAGGGAAAGAATTTAAAAAGGTTTTTACATGGCGCCATCTGCATTTAGAAAATATCAATAAAATTGATCATTTGCTATATGAAATTGATATACAATTTAATTTTAAAAGTTTAGTAAAATTAAACTCACGAATAATATTGATAATTTTGAACGTCGATAATTATGGTTTTATAAAGGTTTAAAGTTTTATTGGTTTAAAAGATTGATAAAATTAGTAATTTAAATAAATTAATTATTGCTTTTTAAAGTTTTTATTACTAATAATTCTGATAAAATATTAATTATTTATAAATCTATTTTCTCTAGGGTCTTTATCATCAGAATATATTTTAAAACATCGTTTCATTAATCAATATGACAGATTCGCGGAATGAAACATGAAAATTATAAGAAATTACTTATTCAATTGTAAAATATTACTTCCAAGAATCTTTTAGGTTCGTGATAAGAAAGTTAAATAGATCTTTTAAAGTGTAAAGTTTTTCTTCATATTCAAGGTTAGAGTATCTATCATTTTATAATCTGAAAATATACATTTCTTTCTATATATACTCATTAATTTTATATTTAAAAGTTGCATCACTTTTCATATAATTTATAAATCTTTTGTAAATTGTAAATTCAACCTTTATAAATATTTAACATCTTAGTCAGATATTAAGTTTGTTAGGACTAACAAATAACCTTAATTAAGGTAGTCGCTTATATTTTATTAATATAAACATTTTTATAACAAAAATAATTTAATAAATATTCTGTATTCAAAAAATTCTATTTATTTGTTAGAAAGTTTTTAGTAAAATGAACTTTGGGAGGCAAAGGGTATAGCCCTCTAGTCCTTAGGCACGCCAGTGTAATACAGGATGTTTCAAAAGCATTTATTCAGTTTTAAACTTTAGCAATTTAAGATGTATAAATGTTACAAATATACAGTAAGCATCACTTATCGAGAGCTAAATTTATGAGTGTTTTATATATATTGTAGGTTTATCCCTAAACTTCAATATAAATATCATGTATGACATGTTGTTCAAGCTGCTCAGCTTGAAAATATTCATCAGTTACTGTTCAGTGACTGCATGAATTGAATTTATTTTCCTAACCCCAATTAACCAGATACTGCTCTATGCATCACATCTCGTTAGGATTTTCTTTTCCCAAAGAGGTTTGATTGCAGACACTGTGTTCTATCAATCCATTTTTCTGAGAGTTAAGAAAATTAATACATAAAAAACTTCACTACTTAAACTTTTAAATGGCACTTATTGTAATTTTATGACATTTATACATCTCAAGTTATTAAAGTTTGTAACATAATTACACAAGAACCACCTGTTATTTTCAATTTTGAAAGATTTGAATATTTAATTCTATAATTCTCTAATTTATAATTTTCTTGAGTTTTTTTCTTTTGATAAAGTAGTCAAAAATAAAAGAAAATAAATGATCGTTATTATTATTAATTTATAAATATTTACTTAGTTATAGTATTGTTAATTTATGTTCGAGAATCTTCATTTAATAAAAATCTAATATTAGATTTCCATTTTCTGTGAAAGTTATTAAATAAAATATGCTAAATATATAGTTTAAATGTTTAGATATTAACATTCTATTCTAATTCTAAATTGAATTTAGTTATAATGAGAGCCTTTTAGATGCCGAGAGAGAACAAAGTCACTTCTTTATTTGAGTGTATTAAAAAATAACATCGTTAAAAAAACTTGTGTTTTATTTTTAAATAATAAAATTTGACAAATATAAATGTTTTAATATAAAAACTGCAAATTTGTTACCAGGTGTAAATCCAGAAGAGTGCTTATGATGATTCAGCACCCCCTTGATACCAAAGTAATGAGTTTTGTTACTTTGAATTAAATAGGGTAAATATAATAACGCATATCGCATAACTTCAATGGCAGAAAGGAATCCTATACAGAAAAAAATGCAGAAAATTTAAACCAATATTTCTTGGAAACACAATGTCGACAAGTGTGGAAAACAGTAAAGCACAAATTAAAGTTGATAACATATGAATTTAAAATAACTGAAATTTCGATAATTTTTTGTGAAAATAAGAAATGCAACACTTTTATATCTTTTCCTATTCCTCCTTTTGGAATCAAACTAAGTATAAATAACAAATTCATTTGTGTAATTTATAATTAATCTATCAATTCAAAATTATACAATTATTTATTTTTCATCATCCATTCAATAATTNTATTTTTGAAATAAAAAATAGGAATTTAAACAAACTTCAAAAATGCTTTAATAGAGATATAACATGCACATGGATAGTTTATAAATATATACATAAAATATTTATATTAACTTATGAATTTATTACAAAAATATTGAAGAATTTAAAAAATTTAGTTATTTTTAACTAAATTTTTTAAATTCAGTAAAAAAAAAATGATAATAAAAACTTAAATTTTTTATTATCATTTTTAATAAATTTTACATTATTTGAGAAAAACAGAAAATTTGTTATCTATAATGATAAATCTTATATTTCTATATGAATAGTTTAATTATATAAACATTCAATATTATTGTTAATAATAATCTGACTAATTTTCCTGAAAGCTAAAGAAATTTACTTAATGAATATAATTATATATATATAACATTGAATAATTAAATATATTGAAAATAGATTTAGCTTAAAATTATCATCCTGAAATCACTTACAAGCAATTTGCAGAAAAAAATGTATTGAAAATGTTGTAATTCAGTTTAAATTTCATAAATATGATAATAACTATAGTATCATTTTTGAATAAAACATCATAACAAAAACATCAAAATTTTATTTTAATATTAAGTACATTTTTTTTTAATTCCACCAGCTCCACCTCCAAAGCCACCTCCATAACCACCTCCAAACCCACCACCAAATCCACCACCAAATCCACCGCCAAACCCACCTCCTCCTCCACTTCCGAAACCACCACCGCTACCTCCTCCGATTCCGCCACCTTTTCCACCGCCAATTCCTCCACCAATTCCGTCACCATGTCCACCTCCGAGTCCACCACCGCTACCTCCTCCGATTCCGCCACCTTTTCCACCGCCAATTCCTCCACCAATTCCGTCACCATGTCCACCTCCGAGTCCACCACCTTTTCCGCCTCCAATTCCGTCACCATGTCCACCTCCAACTCCTCCACCAATTCCGCCACCATGTCCACCTCCGAGTCCACCACCTTTTCCGCCTCCAATTCCACCGCCAATGCTTCCACCACGTCCACCTCCGAGTCCACCACCTATTCCTCCAGTTCCTCCAACATGTCCACCCCCGAGTCCTCCACCTTTTCCTCCACCTATTCCTCCAATACCTCCATCAATACCACCTCCAATTCCGCCACCAATACCACCATGTCCTCCGCCAATGCTTCCACCACGTCCACCTCCGAGTCCACCTCCTTTACCGCCTCCAATTCCACTACCATGTCCACCTCCGAGTCCGACACCTTTTCCACCTCCAATTCCTCCATCTAAACCACCTCTAATTCCACCTTTTCCGCCTCCAATTCCACCACCGATGCCTCCACCACGTCCGCCTCCGAATCCACCACCTATGCCTCCAATACCATCATGTCCACCTCCAATTCCTCCATCAATGCCGCCACCATGTCCGCCTCCGATTCCACCACCTTTTCCGCCTCCAATTCCTCCGTCTAAACCACCTCCAATTCCGCCACCAATACCACCATGTCCTCCGCCAATGATTCCACCACGTCCCCCTCCTTTACCGCCTCCAATTCCACTACCATGTCCGCCTCCGAGTCCGCCACCTTTTCCTCCACCTATTCCTCCAATTCCGCCGCCATGTCCACCTCCGAGTCCGCCACCTTTTCCTCCACCTATTCCTCCAATACCTCCATCAATACCACCTCCAATTCCGCCACCAATACCACCATGTCCTCCGCCAATGCTTCCACCACGTCCACCTCCGAATCCACCTCCTTTACCGCCTCCAATTCCACTACCATGTCCGCCTCCAAGTCCGCCACCTTTTCCTCCACCTATTCCTCCAATACCTCCATCAATACCACCTCCAATTCCGCCACCAATACCACCATGTCCTCCGCCAATGCTTCCACCACGTCCACCTCCGAATCCACCTCCTTTACCGCCTCCAATTCCACTACCATGTCCGCCTCCAAGTCCGCCACCTTTTCCTCCACCTATTCCTCCAATACCTCCATCAATACCACCTCCAATTCCGCCACCAATACCACCATGTCCTCCGCCAATGCTTCCACCACGTCCACCTCCGAATCCACCTCCTTTACCGCCTCCAATTCCACTACCATGTCCGCCTCCAAGTCCGCCACCTTTTCCACCTCCAATTCCTCCATCTAAACCACCTCTAATTCCACCTTTTCCACCTCCTATTCCACCATCAATACCACCATGTCCACTGCCAATGCCTCCACCACGTCCGCCTCCGAGTCCACCACCTTTTTCGACACCTAATCCTCCAATACCTCCACGTCCACCTCCAATTCCTCCACCAATTCCGCCTCCATATCCTCCTCCGATTCCACCACCAATTCCTCTTCCACCTCTAATTCCACCAGTACCTTTTCCGCCACCAATTCCTCCACCAATACCACCATGTCCGCCTCCATGTCCGCCTCCAACTCCACCATCGAAACCACCGCCACCAGTTCCTTTTCCACCTCTAACTCCAATTATAAGAATTTTGCCGCCCGCAATTCTTCCTTGAACGTGGTCATCTGCACCTTCTTTTTCTCCACTAAATCCTACTCCAAAACCAGTACCTTTTCCACCTGCATGAGCATGGCTGAATACTTCTTTGTGCGCTAATATCACCGGTATACATACGAAAAGTATCTAAAAATAGTTTAACATTAACAAAAGTTGATTGTTTTTAAACATCAGTAAAATACTTCACAAAAAATAAAAGTAAAATTAATATAACTAAATATATAAATAAAATAACAGATTTAATTTTTACAAACTGATGCTACTATTTATCAAATAATATCCTGTGATTTAGATTCAGATATTTAATTTCTTTACTTATATAAATAATTTAAAATATTTATTAAAATATATAATGTACAAACGTATGTATAAGAAAGCTTCTTACCAGTAGTTTCATGCTTCCTGTTTTGAATATGTTTCAGATTGATATAGAAGAACAATTGGGATTTATATATATCCAGAAAGATCATAAGCAAAATTTCCCTTAAATTTTAAAAAAATAACAGTAGATTTGCTTAGTCACGACGATTTATGTTTAATAGAAAAATTTACCGCTTCTGGAGTTTTCGAAGAATTTCTTTTTTAATTATGAATGCTTTCGTTATCTTGTTGCATTGTTTTTCTTATCGAATCTAAGAATCTCAAAACCAGAACGTTTGACATCCCATTCAAAATATCATAAACATCATAAGGAAACTTTCGTTAAATACCTTAAGTATTTATTTTTTAAAAATTCCTCACGATTTCAATAATAAAATCGTGAGAAATTTTTAAACAATTCTTTAGGCATTCATAGAAAATATATGAGAAAATTTTAGCCTATTCAAACACTTAAGCCACTTTTATATCATTTTTATCACATACATAAGTGGCTATGAATTTATTAAAGTTTTTTTGTTACATTTTAATTTTTTAATATTTTTTTAAAAGATTATTTTCTATTATAAAAGAAGAGCGAATCATCAAAAAATTGCTTAAAAATTCTTAAATATAAATAGTTTTTATATAATATATATAATTTCACGAAATAAAATATTTTTAATTTTAAAAGTAAATTTTGAATAATTATTTGAATTTTCACTTTGCTTTATGTCTATTCGATTCACTAAAATTTGAATATTCGATGCTTTATGATCAATACTCGTAGGCACTAAAAGTAAAAAGTAAAGGGAAATTGAGGCATTGAACCTTCTGAAGGCACAATTCAGATTAGTTTAATCAGTTATAAAACTTTACTTTTGCAAGAAAATAATGTAAATTTATATTCAAAAATAAAGAGCTTGGCTTATTGTTTAAACATTAAAGCTTTTTTAAAGGTAAATAACGCTAAAAATGCATGACTTTTTAAAGAAAGCATAATTTACACATCTTTCTCTCACACATATGTACTGTTTACTGTACACACATATTATATAATTGCATTAATTGTTTTCTTAAATATAAAAGAATATTTAATGCAAGCAAGATTTATTTATATAAAAACCTAGCAAAATATTTCTGACAATTATGTTAAACAATGTAATTCTAAAGTCACATTTTTTAAATTTTATTTCTGGATCATATATTCACACGATATCAAGGAAAACGTAAACCGACATATTTACTTTAATTCTTCAATAAATAATAGCATTTTTTATATATTATTTAAATAAAAAATATTAAATGTAATAAGAAGAATTTTAATTTATAAAACTTAGTAAAATTTTAAATTTTATTCATGAATGTATGACGCAGATATGTGAATACGTGATTAGAACTGAAATGTCCAGCCTTGAATCAACTGTTTCACATAAACAAGAAACTATTCACGTTTTTTGCTAATAATTTACTTTCTCTTAAAAAAAATTACATTCATATAATTAAAACTTACAAACACGTGTCTAATTTATTAAATAATTTTACGTGTACATAATTAATTAAATGTTAAGTAACATATTTGTCAATCATATTTTTAACACGTTGCGTGTGATGACACTATAAATAATTTTATACATAAAATATCTTGCAGCTTTTTCATAATAAAATTAACTTTTGATATTTAATAATAAGCTTAATATTAAATTTACAAAGTAACTAATACTTAGAAATCTTTCTTTAAATTAAAATTTTTGTTACTTAAACATTAATTAATGGTTTGAAGACATTACCGGATCATTAAAGAATATTTTCCCGATAAACAATTATAAAGTTTTTACTTGTATTTTAGAGAATTTTCTATTTTTTTTATCAAAGAAATTACACGCTTTTGACATTATATAATAATTAAAAAACACGACAAACAACTTTTAAACAGAGTATTTGAGTAAGTCTAACCGGAACGTATGCTTAATGAGAAAGCTAATTTAAAAGAGCTTCAAGGAAATTTTATCCATTTCGTATAATATAATAAATAGACTAGTCACTATAATCAGATAATTACAAGCAATGGGCGTCGGATTACTGCTTATAGGTCAGGGATCGAATCTATTCTGATTCATTTTTCTGTCTCATTTGATAACCTTTTGTTGCAGTAAACCGAATGACCACTGATGGATTCGGCGAGTTTTGATTAATATTCGGGCGTTGCTAGTTACAAAAACTTGTTAACCGTGAAAAATTAAAAAGAATTGTTGGAAAAAATAACCAAGTGTAAAAAAAAAATACATATAATTTAAAATTTTAGCGAATTACGCGTAACTAGAAATTAAATTTTTGCGCTTTTTTTTATTCACGAATTTTAAAATTAAAGTCGTAAAATATTCACTGAATAAGATATTAAAATACACGCTTTATATATTCAGAATTATCAATAAAGTACTATAATTTCCACTTTGTAAATTATATAGAAATTGAAATAAAATTTAAATTACTTCTTTCCAGTGAAATCATTTTAATTGCAGAAATATATAATTTTTTTGCTTCAAACTCTGAATAACTTTAAGTTAAACATGATATTCTATCATTATTAAATGTTCAGTGGCATTTAATAGCAGAATTCACCTTCAAACATCATTAACTCTTCGTAAAGGGTCAAATCTATCATTTGAACAATTGTTTTCGTGTATACTTATGCAGAAAATTTTTGACAGTCAAATAAAAATTTGATTAATGATCTTTTACTTAACTTCTTGACTGACTTAAAAAGTCCTGTTTAAGCACTATTTTAATGATGAACATTTCTTGAAATTATTAATTGTTAACCAAGATTAATTTTTGTAAAAGAAAACAGATTTTAATGATTATCAGTTTTGTAGTTTTGTTCATAAATTTTGGTACTTTAACATAATTTTTCATCTTAAATTATGAGCATCTTAATTAGTAATAGGTAGCAATGTAGTAATTAGAAATATAATTGTTATTTAAAGTTTATAGTATGATAAATTAATTAAGTTAATTAAGCTAAATTAAAATTTTTTAATGTTTATAGCTTATTTATAATTTTAATAAATTTAAGTAGGCTTAAAGAATTAATAAATTTTGTCGATATTTAACCATAACTTTCAATTATTAATTTGTATGAATTTTTATATTATATACTAAAAGAGAAATCTTATAAATCCGTATTTAAATTATGTTTTAAAGTTTATAGATTTGCTTCAAGCATTTCTTTTTTAAACGATCCTTCCACGATAATATATTACAATATCTTGGCTCGAATATAAGCTGCTTTATTCGTGTCTTGCGGCTTCTGAGTAGAGCAGGTAATATCGACAGAGAAGGAAATGCTAAAGGGTATCCGCTACAAATACTCATTTATAGGACATACCATAACATTTAACTCATGATGATAAATAAGATGATGGTTCATCGTATTTATTCTAAATGTTTTCTTTACTTCTAAAGTTATGTACGGTAAACACAACTAAGTATTATTTTTGAAATTATTCTGACAATTGAATTTAGAAATATTTTATATTTTTAAGATTTAATAAAGGTGTGTTTTTCTTTATGTGAACGTTTCAAAAAGTATTAGACTAGAGAAAATGAGATTTTCTGGAAACATTAAAATGCTGGCTTAATTTTAAACAGATTTTCGTTCGTATTCTTTTATAATTTTTATATAAAACAAGAATAATACATCCTTAGAACAATTTAAATGTGATTTAAGTAAAAAAATATATTTTAGTTAAGTGTTATATACCTAGCTTGATATTTCAGTTATAAATTAAATTTTTTTAATATTCATTTTACAATAATTTTTAAAAATTTTAATTATGAAATTTATCCAAACAACTTCTGTAAATTTCAGAATAAGTGAAGATAAAAGCATTTTAATTTTAAATGAATATTCGTGGTAATATAGAATAAGTAATATATAGAAACGTATGGAAAACACTGATAATTTGCAAATATGGTTATATAATATTTATAGAAAATTTAAAAGCAATCGTCTCTACAATAAAATCATTTAAGTAAAATTGTGTAACTTTAAATTAAGAAGAAATAGAAAATATTTGTGTGATATAATTGCAGTTCTATCGAATTATCAAACAATTACTTTTCACAGGAAAAATTTATTACATTTTCTATTGAAACTAGGAATATCTAATTGCTTAATTTTGTTTCTAAATAATTGAAATTCTTGAATAATTGAAAATTTATAATTGGATTTAACGAATATGACAACTACAAATATTCTCATTTGATCTGATGTAAATATTAACAACATGAACAACAAATTTACATACTTCCAATAATGGCTCAAGTTTAGTTATTTTGATTTATTTATTTATTTATTTGTACTTGCGTCATACATATTAAGCAAACAAAGTTTATTTATTTATAATAAAATAGTTTTAAAGTATTTTAATAAATCTATTTTTTATATTTTTTGTCTGTTATGTCGTAAAATATAGTATTAAATGAAGCATTTTATAGTTAATTTTTTTGCTTTTGTAAGAAAGTTTTTTTAAATAATCAATCTAAAAGAAAATAATCTTTAAAATTGTAATCAAATGGATTATTTCGAAATTAAATTAAGTTAAATTTTATATTTTAATCTATAAGACTTATTTTCTCAATATTTATAATAATAAATTAACGTTGAAAGAAGTTATTTATCAACAAATATACATTACGCTAAGAATATACGAGATACTGGTATTATGTTTTAATCATAGAATTATTAAATTTATATACTTTTTCGAAATATGATGTTGACTACTATGAATGATAGGAATATTTTGGACAGTCAGAATAAATAATGGAGAGGTATTGGGAAGAGTAAAGGAAATTATAGAATAATAGGAACAATTAAAAAGAGCCTGAAAAGTACAGCAGGGCAACCTTTCAGACATTCATACTGTTACACCATACTTTTAGATTATTTTAAGGAAACCAGAACGAGAAAGACTTAGAATAGATCGCATGATGATTGCAAGGAAAAGGCATCCTATTCCGTATCAAACAGTTGACTATGGAAAGCTGAAAATATTGAGAAATTAATACGCTACTAACCAACCCATGGATCGAGGAGAGAAGGTTTTAACATCGTGGAAAGTTTATTGAAAACA